CAATGGGAATGGAAAAAAAATATTTGTTCTGTCTTTGGAAATTAAATTTTCAAAAATAATGGTTTAATTTGTTTTGATTAATAAATTTTTCTACTGAAGATTCCATTTGATCTTGACAAGTTCAATCACTATTGAACTTCTGCAAACTATAGTTGTGGAAAATCCTAAGCAAACCACACAAGAATTAACAAAACACTACAATATCTGTCTATATTTCTGAGATGAGGTATTATGTACACTATTTACATTGTTTGGACTATCATCCTCATCTTTGTTGCCATATTTATCACAACGTTTCGGCCATTATATGCTCCAGCCTTCTTCAGTTGTTTGGAATGTCAAACTGAACCCTTTATTGTGCTCACTGGGGTAGATTGTTCTAGTTCCACGTGCCATGTCAGTTATCAGTTCTCTCCTGTTAATTCCCCTCTCCAAGTTCTCCACTGCCTTAATTGGGTATTGAACTCACACTCTTTGGGTCCTGTCACTGGATCTAACTAATGCCTTTATCCACTGTGTCATGTGTCCTTGAGGACATCTGTATTTGAATTTCTGGGTATTATAAACCTTCTGTATTTGAATTTCTGGGTATTATAAACCTAATGTCTTCAGCAACCATTTTTTTACCAGTGCCCATATTGGAATTTTTGCTGTTATCATTGCATGTTTTTTTTATCAGAGCTCATATTGCAATTTTCGTTGTTATTATTTCTTTTCTCTAGCACTTCTTATTACTGATTCTCATATTGTATTCATTTCTATGTTTGGTTGACTCAGGAAGTTTTTTGTGGCCTGTCATATGTGTTGATTTCTTAAGTTTAGGAATTTTCCAATGATGTTCTTTGTCTATGGCTGAAGAAGGCCAGAGCATACAATGGCTGAAACATTGTGTTAAATATGGCAACAAAGATGAGGATGATAGTCTAAACAATATAAATAGTAAAACACTACAAGTTATATTTTAATCATAAAACATCTTCATGAACTCAGAAAAGTATCTAAACTTGGTCAATGGGTCCCTCACCATCTGACTGCTTCTCAATTTAACAAAGGAATTGCTCTCTACTCATCACTGAAGAGTAGACTTGCTACCAAACCATTCCTGGGTATAATCATCACCACTGATGAAAAGTGAGTTCTTTATAATTATATCCAACAGATATTGACAATAGTAAGCACCCAATGAAAAAAGAAATCCATTCCCAAGCCAGGATTACATACCAAAAAGTTATGCTTTGTGTTTGGTGGGATATGAAGGATGGTGGTGTTAAACCAAAATAAAACTGTTAATTCGGAGAAATATTATCATCAGTTGTAAGTGTTGCTCAAAAATTGCAAAAAAGAAGCCATCATTAATTAATCATGAACTTATGTTGATACATTATCACATATTGCCCAATTCAATCAAAAAAAGATCATGATACTAAATATATAGCTTCCACCTTATCCTCCTTACTCTCCTGACAATAATCCATTTGACTATTTCTTTAAATCCTTATAAAATAGAGAGAAAACCATTTATTAATTGTTAAAACTGCTGCTGTGTATTTGTTTGCATTCAAATCTGAAGAGTTTTATTATTATTTTTTCTTTTTACTTAAGTTCACTGAATAGAAGGCCTAAGAACCACACAAGGTAGAGGTTTGCTGAATGAGATTATTGTAAGGGCACAGGATTGTACTGGAACATTGACTAAACATGAACATCTGGAAGTAAGGAAATATAACTATATCAACAACACCTTGTGCTGGAGATTGTATTAGAACATTGACTGATTAGCAATATCTGGAAGAAAAGCATTGCATGAGAGCATTTTTGTAATGGTTATATCCGAATGTAAGGGACCCTTTTTTTTTTTACTATATATGCACCCAGTACAAAGTACAGAGTTTCTGAATGAGGTTTAATAGACATAAGAAGAAGAAGTAAGTGCATATTATGAGAATATGTAGGATAAATAATGACTGATGTTAGACTTGAAGAGGTGAAGATTGTAGTGGTGGAGGAAGCATTCTCTCGGGAGACTATTTCACAAAGTAACAGTTCTGGAAAAGAAGCAGAGTGGAAATTATTCCTCACCAAAAGAATATGAAGGGAATGAGTATGATTTGACATCATGGACATGGCATGGTGAGTCCTAACTGTGAAAGTCTGAGTTCATCTGAACATTTGCCATAATGATAGTGATAAAGTAGTGAGAGGCTGGCAATGTTTTGGTTGTGGGAAAGAGGTTGCAAGGTGGAAAATAATTCATCACCCATAACACCATGCAATTGATTTTGAAATTTGTCAAGGCTGGACAGCACCAGTCTAGGTATGGTAGCAATACTCTATTCTTGGTCTGATATGATTCTTGTAAATATAAAGCATAGCAGCAGGAGTTAGGTATATTCTGGAGCAATACAAGGAACTAACAGTTGTTCCAACATGGCATAAATATACATGTTCCATATAAGGTTGGGAGTGAATTTTAGACCCAACAGGCATTCAAGGCAAGGAATCTCTTTGATCATCATTGCTGGAGGCCAGGTTCTGTTTGGTGGTGATGAAATGTTATGACTTTAGTTTTGGAGGTACTGAATGTTATCAGTCAGTTCCTCTCCTTGAGCTGTGATAGCTTGGTCAGAGGAGAGATCTGTTGCCAGATACTGATCATCCAGATGTTTGGAAGTGCAACCATACACCATAGTACCATCTGAGAGGAACTTGCTTTTTATCAAAGGAACACAAAGTGAATGGGGAGAATTTGCCGCCATGAATATGACACGGCTGTTCCTAGCTTTGAAGGATTGAGTTGGCAGAATTAAGGAATGTAACTCATCCAAGCATATATATGATCATAAAAAGTGAGAGGATAGTAACATTATGTCTGTGGGATAAGAGTTGAAGAATGATGAATAAGTCATCACCCACAAGGCCGTGTAGGTTCTTTTGAACTCTGTTGGTAGTAGACAGTAAGAACTGGGCAGCATCAGTCCAGATATGGCAGCAATACACTATTCTTGGTCTGATCTGATTCTTGTAAAGATAGAGCATATCAGAGTCTGTCTATATTTCTGAGATGAGGTATTATGTACAGTATTTACATTAGTCGGTCTATTGTCCTCATCTTTGTCGCCATATTTGTCACAACGTTTCGGCCGTTGTACGCTCCGGCCTTCTTCAGGTGGTTAGAATTTCAATCTAAACCCTTTATTTCGATCACTCAAGGACACATGGCACAGTGGATAAAGGCGTTGGTTAGATCCAGCGACAGACCCAAAGAAGGTGAGTTCAATACCTGGTTAAGGCAGTGGAGAACTTTCAGAGGGAAAATTAGCAGGAGATAACTGATAACTGACATCCATCAAACATGGCACGTGGAACTAGAACAGTCTACCCCAGTGATCGAAATAAAGGGTTCAGTTTGAAATTCCAACCACCTGAAGAAGGCTGGAGCGTACAACGGCCGAAACGTTGTGACAAATATGGCGACAAAGATGAGGACAATAGTCTGACTAATGTAAATACTGTAGAGCATATCAGTAGGAACTAGGTATTTTCTGAAGCAATACAAGGAACCAACTATTCAATACAAGGAACCAACTATTCTTTCAGTGTTTCTAGTTATGGTACTAATATACGTGTTCCTTTTGGTCTGGATTGAGCTTTAAACCTTACAGATATTCAAGATAGGGAGGCTCATTCAGAGTATGACTGCTCATTAGGAGGTGCAAATTAACTATCTTCTTGGTGGTGGTATTGAATGATGCAAGCCAATCTTCCCCCTATTGATCTGTGAGAGCTAGATAAGAGGAGAGATCAGCTGTCAGTTGGAGGTGCACCCATACAATGTAGCATAATTTACATATATATTTACTAAAGAATTGAGAATTTTCTTATGCAGATCATTAATATAAAGCAGAAAGAGGTTAGGATCAAGGAAAGAGACTTAAGGGACACCAGCATTGATATCATATGCTTCAGTGGACTGGTCATTAATAGTGACCTTCCTGATAGGAAGAACTTGATAACTGAGAAGACCTATGCCCAAGGGATGAACAATTTGCCAAATAGGATTGTTATTGCTAATGAAAGGAAATATAATCTTGATGAAATATATCAATTAAAACAAAAGAAGCATTTGTTTCTTTTCCATCTTCAAATGTGACAGGTTCCAGCTTTATATAATTGTCTATGCTTGCAGGGGGAATATTTTGAAGTGTACCCACCCTTGCCTTAGGGAGTTTACTGTTTCATTAACATTAAATGGCTGGATCATTTTCAGACAGGATTGTATTTTAATTTTGTCCTGTTGAAAAAAAGATTTTATGTTAACAAACAAATTTCCTCCATTTCTTTTTCTTTGTAGTTCTGTCTTTGAACTTTTAATCAAGAAGACAATTTAATAAAATATAATTATTGTCAAGCAATGAATAATGATGATTCCAAGAGATATTTTAACAGAAGCAATGGCAAATAATCTTCCTTACTTCAGCATAAAACTTGTCATTTGGTGTTGTACTATTGGTAAACTTGTTTTTAATTTCAGAACATTTCAAATGCAGTGCTTTGTTTCTAGTAAATATAAAGAGGTTGAAAAAGATTTGAATGCACTTCAGTAGATACATGAGATAGATATGAAGAGATGGATACATGAATATACACAAAGGAGCTGAAAATGATTTAAATGAAATTCAGTAGCTACATGAGGTAGATATAGAGACATAGATGGATACATGAATAGACAAGAAGAGGCTGAAACAGATTTAAATGAACTTTGATAGATAGATATATGAAATAGGTATAGAATGAGATAGATATGAAGAGACAAAGATGGACACATGAATAGACATGAAGAAGCTGAAATAGATAAATAAATAGTAAAAGGGAACACTGACATTTTCTTGACTTGACCTAGGGGCAGTGGAAGAGGCAGATTCATACCTTTCCCAATGGTATAAGTGAACATAATGAACCCAACCTGAACTGTTATCCACTACACCACTAGCACATCTAAGCATACAGCATCTGGTATTCCCATGCAATCACCCATGTAGGTACTGACCAGGTTCAGTGTTGCTTAACTTCAATGATCATATGAGAACCAATGTTTCAATGTGATATAGCCATAAGCCCCAAATAGATATATAGATATTGTACACATACAGATAGACTTGAAAAAACAAGGATAAATAGATAAAATTTTCTAAAGAAACTGTGAATAATTTTCCCAAGTAGATAATGATTTTAGTAGGGCATTATTATTATTTCATGCCTGCAAATTTAACCAATTGAGACCTTTGTTTATTTTTACTGAGACAAAAGAAACAAAATGAAATTTGGATAAAAAATGAATGCAATTATCAATAAAGAAAGAAATGGTGAAAAATCTAAAAAGAAACATGTATGAAGATAATATTTCACTCATGTTGTACAAAGCTCTAAGAAGAAACATTGTCAGTATTTGTTCCTGGGATCTTTAGATCAGTATCCATTTTTGTTTCAGTTCTAATGTTTGTCTGATATTCCTTGTAGTCTCTGAATTTCTGGAATGAAGTACAGTCCAACCTATTTAAACTAGCTCTCTTGGGACCAGGCCACTGCTGGACCAAAGTAAAATGTCAGATGACAGAGATCACCCCTAAAAATAAAACCCTATGTAAGCAGTTTTGCCAGCTCATTCCACATATATATTGCCATATTATCAAAGGTAGAACAAAGCTTAAAACATGAAATAAAAAACAATCATTAATGCTCCCAAACAAGGCTTTTATTGTTTCATGCAATACAAAGGCTACAAAAAAGCCTAAAACCAAAACAAAATATATAGTTACTATCCTGAATGGCTAAATATGCAGCTAAAACATAGCTATAAAAAATGAGTAAGATTGTATCATCAAATCAGTCTGCTGCTGTTGGCTTCTGTGGAAAGTTATAAACAATGTATGGTGTTGCCCTTTTAACTGCTTAACAGAATGATGGTGGCTGATTCAAAAATGTGCAGACCACAGGATTTGTCAGACCATAGAACTCTGAATTAAACAGGTTGGACTATATTGCCATTACTCCATGAATTATTTGACTAATATCCTCATCATTATTGTTTTTACCACAAGGTTTAGTGTTAGAAAGGAGCTAGTGTTCAGGAGAGCCTTTAAATAAAATAATGGCTATTAAGGTTTTCCATATTTAATCATACATGCACACACACAAGCCCAAAGCATGTGAACACACACATATGTACATTTACATGGAGTCAATCTTTTTCTCAATTTAACATGCTTTCAGCATGAGGTCTGTGAGCTATTTCTGTCAAGGAGATGGTAATTTAATAAAAGAAATAAAATGGATGACACTCAGCTATTATCATTTGTGGCATACATCTGTAAAGTAGTGCTGAAAAGTTCTCAGCCCAACCCACTTCTCAAAAGCTGACCAAATAACTAAACATCAGAATTTTTTTTAAGAGTGTGTTAGTCAAGTTGTGGACATTTTAAAACCCTCTTATATAGCTAGCCAAAAATATATTTAATTTAAATGTGATAAAAGCAATAAATATAAGGATTCTAATTCAAATGATACTTGGAGTAATTATTTACATTATTCATAATGTTTTGGCCATTGTACTTTCTGGCCTTCTTCAGGTGATTGGAATTTCAAACCAAACCCTTTATTTCATCCACTGGGGTAGATTGTTCTAGTTCCACATGCCATGCCTCTTCTGGATGTCTCAGTTGTTTCCCTTTAACTCAACTCTCCAAGTTTTTTGGTTTACTACTGCTGTAGCCTGGTACTGAACTCACAACTCTTTGGGTTAATCGCTGGATCTAACCAATGTCTTTATCCACTGCGTCATGTGACCTGAATATGGCAATGAAGATGAGGATAACAGTCCAAATAATGTAAATAATCAGCTAGGGAATGATTATTTTGTTATTTTTGTTTTCATTAACATATGATATAGTATAGCATGAACTGCAATGAAAACTAGATCAATATGAGAAGGATATTAGAATAATCCAGAACATATAATGAGAACAAACACCCTGCATGTGAAAAGAAAATGGATTAAGTAGGTACATTAAAAAAAGAAAGGGGTGTAAGACAAAAAGATATCTTTGCTCAATAGATTTATCCAATCTCTACGGTGAGGCTATCCCAAGCAAGCTGAAAACCTTACCAGGATTTATTATTGGTGAGTGCAATCCTATGATATGCAGATGATACTGTGCTGATGGCAAACATAGAAAGAAAACTACAGGACCTCCTAAACAATGTAGTAAAAGAAAGGACAGAATCTATGGTTGTCAGTAAAAGGAAGATCCCACTAGAAGAAAAGACTATCAATTGTAAGAAGACAGTATGGTTGTCAGCAAAAGAAAAAAGTCCAAGATGTGAACTAGGAATTGGTGATGTCAATATCAAACAAATACAGAAGTTTAAACATCTAGGAAGTGTTTTAACAGCGAATGGAACATGTGACTCTAAAATATGAATATACATTAAAAGATGCCTTTTCTATAAATATTTTCATGTTAATTGTTTTGATGAGCTTTCCTCTTTGTTATTTTTGTTCTTCTCCCCAGACAAAATTTACAATTTTTATTTAAAAGTTAGGACTTTATAGAGACTTTGGGGTATTATGGTGGTTGTAGTAAGAATGATAAGTAAGAATGTGTTGTTTTCATTTAAGGAATACTGTAGTATATTTGGGCCACTAATTGTGGTTAGCTAACTTTAAAATAGGGCATATTGAAGACCAGCCTTCCCTCATTCCTCTTTTTGTATTTTTCAAAATAAATATTGCTTTCCTCTTTGGTATTTCAACTTTACAAATTTAAGCATAGTACTGGACTATAGCAAGGTCTCATAATTTTACTGTTGAAATTGCTAGATGTAGCCAGAAGTTCTATGTTAAAAATTTCTTCTCTTGCACTTCTCACTTGTGGAACTATCTTCTGGTTTCTTGCTTCCCAGCCAACTTTGATCTTCAAAAATTTAAATGCAAAATCAATCATTACCTTCTAAATTTTTGAATCTTGTTCTTTTATTGTTCTCTCGGTTTCTTTCACACTCATTACCTCCTTGTGTCTTAGCATTTATCATTTTGCTTGATGTGAAATGATTAAAGAAAACAAAACAAAACAAAAAAAACATTATGAAAATACTAGTTTGAATAGTCAGTCAATAATAAAATAAGTTCCTTAATGTCTTCTTTGTTCATCTGCCTGTCAATGTATAATTCAAGGACAGCTTGAGCTATGCTTACCAAAATTTCCATAGCTACTAATGGGACCTAAAAAGCAATGTTTTTAGTGATGGTTTGATTTACAATGTAAATATAATACTATACTTGACCCTTACTTTTTGTTCATCAGGTTATAAAAATCAAAACTTTATCTTTTTATTTAACTAGACATTTTATTTAAAATAGACATTGAGATGAAAATTTCAAAGTCAAAACCTAAAGTTGTAACTTCTTTTCTATAACTTATGTTGTGTTTTCATTTGTAGCACAAGCAATGGATACCAGGTGGCCAATAAACATTAAATTCTTAACAACATTTATTAATTTATAAGTTATCACCAAAATTTGGTTCATTGTTATGTCTGTGTTCATTGCTACAATATAAGTCCAGAAAAAAGAAATTCTTGTAAAATCTTCTTGGATGTTTGAATTAATATTATCAAATTGTCCATGATGATGATTATATTCAAGTAAGTTATAATCAATAAATGCAGAGTTCAAATCTGTTATCTCTTATTGGGATCAAATACCTCATTTTGGCTTTTTGCAGGAACTAGTTTAAAATTCCACCTGCTAGTGATGATAATTGCTTATTCCTGAATCAGTTGAAACATTACAACTATGTATCAGAAAAATATGCATAACTCCAGATGATCTTCAAAATGAGTTATGAGATCACACACACCCACACACCAAAATACTCTTGCATCTCACAAAAAGAAGTAGCTTTTGTATACTCAAGATGTCTATGATTGGTCAAGAAAAAATCCAATTTATTTGAAATATATTTGATTCATACAGGTTATGACAAATATAAAAATATTTGTAGAGTTTTCTTACAGCATGCTTTTTTTTTTTTAACAAACTCTGTGTGTATAGGTGGTTGTTTGTATTCTTGAGGTTGTTTGCAAGAGACATAGGACATAAAACAACTGTAGTGAAATGGTATAAAATGTTTTTATTTATTTGCTTTAGAGTGAGTCCTTTGGCATTTGGTGTAGCAAAATGATTGATAATAAGTCAGATAGTGCAGTCTGGAGAAATGTTCACTTTGCCCCATTATTTGAGAGTTTGGGAAGTCAGAGCAGGATAGGGGTCGTAGTAATATAAGAAATAGGTCAGTGACAACCTGCTGTGTTTTTCTTGACCCTAAGCAAGGCATAAATATCATTAGTAGATGACCTCTTAAGTATTTCTTCACAAGCTATGCATGGCTGGTTTCTCCAGGGTAGCATCTTTTGTTCCATCCTCTTCTGTTATCCTTCTCTTCTAACTCAGAGGTGTTAGCTTATATTCTTTTGACCAAGATCCAAAATTCTAATGGGAACTTTGGTTTCAACTAACATCAAAAGTCTCTTTGTGTTAATAATTTAGATTGGTCCAAATTATTTTATTTTCTGGTGTTCCTTTCTTTTTCACTTTTTATTACAGAAGTTATGTGTGGAGCCTTCATGATTTTTGTTAGTTTCAGTCACAAATTCGACTGGGTTCAGTTTTTTCTTCTTCTTCCTCTTTTTATCTGAAGATTGCCTTCTTGTTAGTTAAGAGAGAGAAAGAAAGAGATTAAGGTTTTAAAGGAATGAGGAAATGCCCTATTTTAATTTTAATTTGAATTTTTATATTTTATTTTATTTTATTTAATCATTACAAATATATGCAAAGAATACATGGGCTTTTGAAGTTTCTGGTTAATAAGATGTATATGTGTGAGTGTCAAATTTATCTTTGGTTATATAACTACGTCCTAACATTGTGACTTTCCTTAAGAGAAATATAGGAAATACAAGTTTTTGTAATTGTATATCATGCATAATATATATTATTGGATTTGTTTTTAGTTCAAAATTAACATGAGTGAGAGAGCATTTTCTAACTTTTGAAAT